AGGTTAACTCAATCACAGTACTAGGATCTTGCAACCGCGTTCCCTACAGCCAGCAAACATCGATGGTAAAGGATTCCAAGGTGCGCGTGAGACTCACGTGCTTCCCGGTCTACATGAGCGTACGTACTTTGAAGAACGGGGATCGAGACCAAAGAAGGGCCAATGGGCGTTGAAGAAACCATAGGAAGTAGAATAATTGAAACAGGATTCGGTTGGTAACGGACAACAGTGATTGGTAACAAATGAACAAGTCGCGCGTGAACAAGGTGCGTGAGTAGCAGAAGCAAAGGCAGCTGAGCGAGGTATAGCGGACTCAGGAGCTTCTATTTTTGTCCGTGGGTGTGATACCACCCGGTAGGGGGTTTTTCGTAGGGGATACTATCCCGAGGATTTGGCTAAATAGCAAACCCACAAGAATGCGTGGTGAATTCACAGAATCACGCACACTAGTTGTTGACTGATTGCACAGTTAATAAGCCTTTCGTTTGATAGGTTAACAAACAGTGGTCTAATCCTTTTCATAGTCAGAATACATTTGCTGGATTACAATAATTCACCGAAGTGAGGCAAAAGACAGTGACTATTTAGTGAGAAGTCAAATTGGACCTATTGCAGTGTTTTCAAACAGTGAATTGTGACCTTTTATATGAAGAACGCTTGTCAGACGAAAACCCAACACGTCCTGGAACACTGGCGCCGAATACTTCACTAGAACGAGGTGGTTACAAAGAACCAGCTGACACCACGATGAGGTAGTTTGACAGGGTACCTGAAACAACGTAAACCACACAGACCCAATCTTTGAGAAGATGAAGCAACCAGATCAGTGTCATCAAGCAGGCTTCTGTGCTCTCATTTTTGAGGAAACACAAGCACGCGTGACAAGAGTATTGTGCCGTAGCAAACGACAGCTGAGGATATTGAACGGCCAAGTCTCTTTAAAGTACCGAGAAACAGCTCTCATTGTGATGATGTACAAGCTGTGTTTAGAAGCAAAGGGAATCTTCTGACGCCAAAGGCAGTCCTGACTTGGCATGATGCGAGCAAATTTCAGCAACCACAAGCTTGCAATCAGTGGTGACCATGACAATATATGCAAGTCGAGCAACTATATCCAGTTCTGCACCGCAAAGCGACCAGTGATCCCGTGACAACACCTGTCTAAGGTGAGAAACACATGCGAAAAGGAGGGATAAATGCAGCTTACATAGCGATAAAAGTGATCCTCCAGGTTATCAAACAGTTAGACAATGTTTAGTGTAATTAAAATCGGCCAGTTTTCATTCAATTAGTATCTCGTTATCTGCCGTGTGACTCCACAGAGGAACATACCGCGACGACGTAAACAACAAAGTGGAGAAAACTGAGAAATGAGCAGCGTCAATGAACGCCATTTGACCAATAGTTGTCCGACAACCCGACTTCGAGCCGCAGGCAGAACGAACAGAATGGATTGATCGATTAAGATGAGCGCACGCTCAAAAACATGTGCAGCGGTTCCTGCGACGAAGCTTCAGTAGTTCGCACAGGGTGAAAATAGGATTGTGAGGCCACTCACGATGTAAAATCTACCGAAACCAGGAAATGCAGCCAATGAATACACCGAAGGATCGTGATAAAAGTCGCATATCCCGTCCCTACCTGTGCCAATACGATATTGAAGTACTGGCAGGAACGCTGTGACAGCGCTTGATTCGACCGTTGGCAATCCGAGAGCCAAATCTGCAAATGCCCCAAGAAGCTACCAAACGAGGGTTAGGTTATTAGACATTTACAAGTATGAGCATCCTGTGGGTACGGTTATTCCTAGCCTCTACGGTTTGTCCAAAACTCACAAGCCAAATGTCCCGCTGACGCCGATCTTGGATATGAAGGATTCATCTTAGTGGCTAGTTGAGCCCATCCGAAAGAGGATAGCAGGGCATAGTCTGAAAGATAATTTTGAATTTGTAGAGGCAATAAAAGATGTAAACGCCTCGGGTCTAACCATGTGCTTTCGTGATGTCACCTCATTGTTCACGAAGGTACCGATATTTGAGACAATAAATTACATCTGCGAATATGTTTGGGGGGAGCTGGATGAACATCGGCATACCCACCGTGGCGTCGAAAGAACTGCTGCTTAGATGCACGTTTAACGTTCAATTTGTATTAAACGGGGAGATATACCGACAGCGAGATGGAGTGACGATGGGCTCCCCACTTGGGCCAATACTGGCTGATATCTTCATGGTTGAAAAAGGGAATCTAAAAGCAACCATCGCGTTTTGACCCCTACCGCCGTTATGTTGATGACATGTTTATGATGTTTCAGTCCTCCCAGAATATTAAAATATTATCAACAGTTTTAATCAAGCGCATAATGCGATGCGTTTTACCGCGTAGAGAAAAATAGCTGTTTTCACTTTTTGGACGCGGGTCTAAAGCGACTCGATAGCTGGATATTACAGCGCCACGTATATAGAATAAGCTCGTGGGATGGCTAGTACACCAAGTTCCACAGCTTCTTGTCACTGAAGCTGAAACGAAATTTAATTCATAATCTGGTCAGTAGAGCAGAAAGAATCTGCCCGCATGAAACGCTTGCAGGTGAACTACAACGAATAGGCTCGTTGCTGCGGGAAAATGGTTACAGCTCACATTATAAAAGTTCGTATGGAGATGGTGAACACACTGATTGTTTTAACGGCTAACAGAAAAGCAATTTTTTTACAACCTTATAAAGGAGAAATCGTTGCCCAAATTCTTAATCGACGACTATCCCAAGAGCTCAGACGGACGTTCGCCGAAGCAAAACTACATACGTAGATTGCCACGGGAAGCCCAGCCACGATGATAGTAGACTTGTCCACGATAATTCTATGTTGGTTAATGTGCTTCCTCCGCTAAAAGCTCAGTTTAATCTATATGGTCTCAAAGATTCCTTCCAGCCTGTCGAAGATCTCGATAAAACGAACTTGTCCGATAATGTAATGTGTTCCTTAGATGTGGAAGCATTCTTTACTAACGTGCCGCTACACCAGATCGTTGACTACATCTGCGAATTAGCAGAGAGTTCTGAATGTCCGTTGCCGATTCCAGTTGAATTCTTAAGAGAATCATTACTTCTATGCACAGAGAATGTCGATTTCTACTTCCGAAACATACCGTATCGCCAAATTGATGGGATAGCCATGGGCAACCCACTAGGTCCCATACTAGCGGATTTCTTCATGCTGATGATAGAACGAAGCCTACCCGAAGAAATAGCGCAGTTACCCTATTACAAACGTTACGTAGACGATATCTTGGTGTTCAGTTCAACAGAAATGCAGATCGCACAGCTAGTGGCGCGTTTTAACTCCTCGCATGTCAATTCGAGGGTTTCCTACGAAGTCGAACAACAGAACTGTCTTCCATATTTGGATGTTCTTATCAGCCGCATGGAGAACGGACTGGTAAAATGGTCTGTCTATCGAAAAATAACGTGGTCGGGACAGTATCTGCATTTTAGGAGACTTATGCCAATGCGGCACAAGCGAACGCTTGTGAAGACCCTGTTTAGTCGCGCCAGACGAATATATTCGACCGATTGTCTAGCCGATGAAGTAGAACTAATTACCAACACGTTAATTGCTAATGGCTACTCTCGAAAATGTATCCGGACGCACAGCGAAATCCGTGAAATGAAAGTTGCTGTACCTACTGTGCCTAAGGAAAAGGTATTCTTAGGGCTGCCCTTTAAGGGTGACATTGCTTCTTTGAGGACCAGAAGTCGTCTGGTTTCCGCCACACAGAGCACAGTTGTGTTGCCGAAGTTGCAATCATCGACCGAACTCACAAGCTACCGTTGCCTCCACTAAAGTAAACTCAGCCTATTGGCGCCAACTCCCACTGCGTATGTCAATTCGTATGTAACTGTGGGGATAGTTACATAGGTAGATCTAATAGAACACTGAGTTCCCGAATTAAGGAGCATGTACCAAAATGGGTTCAATGCGGACTTATTCAGCAAGCAAGCCCAAATCAGACTACGTGTGTATGCAGGCCGCCAGCATCTTCGACCGGCAGGCCCTTATTGACATCCGGTCACCGAATTGAGATCAACAAGGCGTTTAGAATCCTGCTTCGCCATACCAATTCCCGGCTCCTCCGGTTCGCCGAGGCTGTTGTCATTAATCGGATTAAGCTAATGCTTTGTGTTCAAACACAATTACCAGTCAGCCTCAGACTGCCCTGGTTGTAGAAGAAAGACACCTTTTTTTCTCGCGTTTGTTTGTATGTATGTCTGTACTCACAAACTGTTATATAAAATTACCGGTTATCGCTATCGGCACTGGTGAGACGATAGGAAATGCATGCAGCTGCCGAACTTCGTCTTCTGATTGTGCTTTCCAAGTTAGCAAAGGAGGCAAACTGTTTGGAAATTCTATGTGAATCTATTCATTAACCTGTTCCTGTGGATCCGGATATATTGGTCGTACGACTAGGTGTCTATCGGAGAGAATGAAAGAACGCGGTCCGGCATGACAAGCGACCGGATGCAGAAGGGTATGTAACTCAGCCATAGCTGCCCACCTTGCCGACACAGGCCACAACCCTAGGCCAGTCGAAAGATTCCAAATAATTTACAATACCCCGGATAATCGATCGGGGTTTATGTGCAGACGGATACGAGGCCGCTGAACCTATAGCAATCTGGTTGTACGAACCAAAATCGTGCACTAAAAAGCGATTTGTTCAGGCCTTACAACTGACCTGGCCAGATCGAGTAGTGGTTTTTACTCAATTAGATCGCGTGAAGGCTCGGACATCGACCTGATTAATGGCGATAGCCGACTTCTTGTAAACTGATTTTACCCCGTTTTAACGACCCCAGCAGTCTAATCGATGCAACTGGTATATTATTGTACTAGGTTGATAAAGATTAGCAAAAACGTGTTCGCTAGGATTGATTTTTGATTCAACCTTGTCGGTCGCGTAGGCTGCCAAGCAAAAAGGGCAAGAATTTCAACAATTTAAGTGCTTGAGTGAAATTTATGGTCGAAAAAGCTTAAAACACTCGTGTTGAAGATAGTGTTCTTTCAACTAGGAATGGGTTCCCGTCAGGAATGGGTAAAATGTACGTTAATATTCCATTGTTCTTCAAACCCCAATCATTTGTTAAACTGCAAGGCTCGTGAGGCAGAAAAAATTGGGGGCATGGTAAGTAAATCGGTTTGGTGGTGGATATAAACCATACAAACCCATTAGAAGAGATCGAAGATCGTGCAATAACAAAGTGTCACAATGGCACTACAACGGTTGGAGATGGTGCATCATGTTCAAGAGGGGGCGGTGATTGGTAGGAAAATCGCTTGGCGTAACACTCTACTTCATCGAGTTGATCATCAGGCTGTGCTTTACGGCGGAGTTCGCGTGGAGTGAACAGAATGGTATGTCTCTGAGGAATCGGTCTTGAAACAAGGCAATCGGGACTAGGGGTCTGGACAGTAGTAATGTTAGACCACGGATCCGATAGAGCTCGAGCAATCCAGTAATTTCTAGCAGGAGTTATAGGTGTACGGGAAGAATGAGATCTCGTGCCTGAGTCGTTCGAAGCCCAAAACGACTCATCCGTTACTCCGCTCAGTCCCCGTGAAGAAACGAAGGAAGGTGTTGAAGCAAAACGATCGGTTCTACGGTCCAATCGAAAGTCAGGGACACCATGTGGGGTGTGAGTTTGACTCGTATAAGGAAAGTTTGAATAAGGTGTGTTGGAAAAATGTGCTTGTGGACTACTGAAGGGTCCACAGTTCACAATGTCCATGGTGTTGTGGAAAGGTGATGCTCCAAGATTCGGATAGTGAGCGTATGAAGACGATGGTGATCCGGAAGGGGGCGGAAAAGCATATGCGCTAGATGCAGATATAGAAAAGGGAGATCGGATTGAACACTATTAGGAGTTATGTAATGCGGAAAATTGGAAATACAGCCAGATACTACTCGGGAGTAACACTGAAAACTTCAGAAACTAATCAAGCTGAATCAATCGACAGGTACGCTACTTGTTAATCGATGCAACCATGAAACACTCTTCAGGATAGAGCAATTCGACTCCTTGATCGTACGCTATGGAACAGCTAAAACTGTGCAGATTGGTTGGATGAAAAATACCAAACATGTGGTGAAAGATTGGAGAAAATTACCGGTAACAGAAGTGATGGGTCACATAAGCCAAGAGAATTCGTTGGTCTGGAGAGCAGATAGAGTATAACTAAGTGGCACACTACTGAACAATATGGTGAATTAAAAATGTACAGGTATCATAGCAGTAGTAGTAAAAATGCCATAGTACCGTTCGACGAAGAATACAGACCGCAGGCAGCGCGAAATGCAAAAGTAAGTGCACAATGCGCACACACCAGTGCGCAACCAAGTCATGTTAGACCAAGCTATGAACAAGAGCAATGCTCAATGAGGTGTGGATCAGACATCAGCCAAAGCGTGTACAATCGCACGGTTGTTTAAACTCACTGGAGGAAAGAGTAACGGAAGGAACATGGGAAGGAGGAGAAGAAATGGGGTTGACAAGTAGTAACCAGAACGCAGAGATCAATGGAACCAGAAGGTAGAAAAAATGATTAAAGACTTCAATATCAGCTGGCTCAATTAGATCTTAAGCATTTGGGAAAGAGAGATGACTGACGTAGCTATTTAGGGATCTTAGTGATGTGCATAATGTACGGATGACGAACAGTCGAAATCATCGGGAGGAAGTGAAAGTTGACAGCTGATATAAATAAATAAATAAATAAATAGTTTATGCTCGTCATTGCGAGGCACACCATCAAGGGCGCGAGCATGGTAATACAGATATGTAGGATCGGAAATCGTACAAATTAGTATATTGACAAATAGTATAGGAATGTATGTGTCTGTCAACATGTAAAAGTATGTTTATGGCTGTATTTGAAAGTAGCCATGTTGTGTGATTAGGTAAATGTGACTCTGTGTGTTTTTGTTCGCTGGGTTCACCATCAAAGGGGAAATCAATGGAACGCTTCGAATCGGATGACGCTCATGGTGCGTGAATGGTCCTCCGGAAAAGGGAAGAGGCAGTGAGTTTATTTAGTGGCGAGTCACATCCGCCACGTCACAGTGTTGTTAAACGGATATCTGTGGTTTTTATAGGGAGAACGTTTGCCAGGTGAAATCCAACGACATCCTGGAACACTGAAGCCGAACCATTTGCTAGAACGGGATTTACCTGAACCACCCAGCTGACAACAGGAGGAGGTTGTACGGCTAGCCATTTCTCGAGTATTGTGAACGTCGATAAGACAAGATAAACACGCCTCCCCAAGCCATGATATCACAAGGTGCTATACACTAAATGTTATCTTACGGTGGAAATGGAGAAGACAGTTGTAAGCGCCGATGTAAAGGAGTGATAGTGGCGGACCACAAACATGATCGAAATTGAAACATCAGTTGAGCAGGATTTATTTGTTTTCGATGTTATCTGTTAAGCAGTTCCGTCGTTTAACAGTCCTGGAAGGCGTTGTTGTCAGCGCAACATAATTGGTTTTACTGCATAAGTTGGGACATATCTTTACGATGCAATGGTCAGAATTGACAAAGGGGAGAAAGCCTTTGTGTGGAAAGCTTGTATCGGTTAACAAGTACTAAATCTACATGCATATCGGATTTGGTGAGGAATTCCACCAAATTGGTGATAATGAAAGCTGTGCCACTTCTATTTATGTTACAAGCGAGAACACAGAAAGAACATCCATTGGTTGGTTGGTGATATGCAAACTTTCGCAGCTCGAACAACGGTGTGTTATGAGGTACATACGCGTTTCCAACTACAACAGGAAACCTCACAGACACTTTAGTTTGCGTTCTAATAGGTGGCAGCCTACTGATGAGTCTTGAAATAGATTTACACTAATCTTCGCGAATGTAGGTGGTGATACCTCCTCCGCGATGCTGGAGCTATCCTGGGCGGTTGTATCTAATGTGGCGGTAGCGCTACTCCCATTTAACGATTTCATCACCGATGTAACAATGCAACCAACTTTTCCGTAATACCACCACTATAACTGCACTCACAAATTATCTTCGCTGTATAATGTTTGTAAGATCAGCAATCTTCACGAGAAGTGATTGCATATTGCTGGACAGAATCAGCGGAATTTATGTCCAGTTTAAGGCACAGCGCTTGAGTCTAGCTTGCCAACCGGTACGGTGAGTTACCTTTTTTCCTTTACTTTTCTTGATAATTCCCGTGTATGCATTTCTGATCTTGCATAGGTATTCAACCAGCGGCGATTTTCGTACACTGTTTCGAGGATATATCACATCATCAACAGAGTAGGACAGGATGGTGGTTATGAAATTGGTTCAGTTGAACAAAAGGTAAAATAATCGCTGTAAACATGAATAATCCGCAATGAGCAGTGTGGCATAATATCCCGCTGATAATAGCAACGAGCGAATTTGAAGACCCAACCAGTGTGGAGTGGCTATACTGTGAGGTCATCTGCACCTACGCGGATTCAAACTGGTGACCTTACAAGGCAGGTGCCTTATTCGCTCTGGCACCGGCCAAATAATCAACAATGATAACAAGCATAGACCCAAGTAAACCGTGTATCGTGGACAAATGGTAGACGTTGACTACCATAAGCTATAGAACAAGTCGTCTCACTTCGACTAGTGCTTTTCCGGTCTTTTGGTTGGACTATCTCGATTGTGAGTTGCTGGGACTAATCAGTAAACTTTTATATAACATTGTTGTTGCCTGCCCATAGCCCTAAGGATCACAAGTCTGCCTTGTAATCCGAGGGCGCTGGTTCGAGTCTGCGTAGGGGCAGCGTGACCCTTGCAGTATCCTTAACCCACGTACGGCCGGTGGCCGAGTGGTTGGCGCGTTTGCTTTCCAACCATAAGGTCACCGGTTCGAATCCGCGTAGGGGTGGGCGTCCTCGCGGTATACTCAGCCCGTGCGCGAATGGTGGTGGTCGCGCGGCAGCGAAGCGCCGTTACGGCGTATAAGCTGACACAACCCACGTACGACCAATGGTGGTTGCGCGGCAGCGAAGCGTCGGTACTGCGTACCGGCGTACTGCTGATGCCTTTCTGTCTTGTCTATATATCATTGTTGGCACAACCAGCTAGAAAATGGCTGATTGGCATTAGTGGTCAAATGACAGAAGTAGCAAGGGGTGGCAGTGGTACAGAAGAAGAGCCCGTTGCATCGCATGGCATGAAAATGCTCGAACTGAGCAAAGCCGACGTCGACTGCACGACAGCCCTAATAATTTTAACTGCTGATTTTCAACGCCGTAAATGTGACCACCTGGATACACAAAATAACCACTATCAGACATATTTTCCGAGCGGTCAGTAATGTGAAAGGAGGGATGGTGACATGGTGGTGGTGACATGACCTTGAGCGAACATGCGTGCAAATCGCCCACTTGTGCACTTGTGGTTTTTTCATTGTGGCTCAGCGGCACTTTGTTGCACACCTTTGGGTCTATACTCATTCGTCGTGCTTTTAAAAGATCCAGCTTTTGATACTACTTTCTCGAGTACACTAGTGCATTCTACATTTACCCTGAATTCTAAATCCTGGCAGTGTTTCGCCGATAGCCAAGCACCAAAAGTTGCCTAACTCCAAAAATGTTTGGTCCCACTTGATAGATCATTTCGACGGCTCTCGAACGAACTGTCACTCGGTCAAATTCAACATTGCTTGGAGCAGCCACAGGTCTCAAGGCGCGATCCATAGGCTTAACCACGAAAATTCTCAATCACACCTTCGTGTATTCTGCCAAACGTTCAAGCTGACACATTCGACTGGCAAGCCAGAGAGGACAGTTTGCGAGCACACAACTGCAACATTAACATTGTGACCTTCCCGAAAACGTCAATAACAGAACAACTCTTTATTACAGAGGGTGAGTCATTCAAATGGTTCGTAACATTTGCTCAACAAGCGCGATGCCCAGTGTGCCACAGTCTAAAGATCTATGTGGATCATGTACCGAACTTGTTAAGGGGGCATTTTGTGCCGCAACTGTTGCAAGCTTTTCCATGCGAGATGCCTCCGAGTTAAACCTAGTTAGGCCAGGTTATTAAACAAAGCAGATTCTCTGTGGTTCTGCGTGGAATGCACATCTATCCTACTGATAAAAAGCGTGCTCCTATTATCTCAGAAGTACGACCAGCGACTAGCCAAGTTTGAGGAAATGGTGACCAGCAAAATCACTACGGTTGGGGTAAGCATAGCGGACTGTGCAACCCAATCTTCTCCCGTAAGTGCTGCTCCTATCCTGAGAAGAACTGCTAGTAACACCGTAAGCAACACTACACCTAGAGTCCATAACATCAACTGCTGTTCCAATACCACACGTGGCTCACATTTGACTAATGCGGTTCCGTTTGATCGGAGTAACTACACGTAAGGTTAATTCCAAACTATTGACGGAGTGCGTAGAAAAAGAGCAAGCCGGTACTAGCGAAAGTTGGGTTACGGTTACTACCGAGAAGAGCCCTCATTTAAAAGTAACATCACCCCCAAATGGATCGGATACTGAGGAGCATAGCGGTGTTTTCCTAGTGCAAGCACCACCGGTTTCCTGCGGTACAAGTCCGAGTATTTCAATCACTAACCGCGACATGTCGAATGATGTAAAGAAACAACTACCTGTACTGAGCGTACTGTGCTCCAATATCCCAGAATCAAAGTCCACATCAATAAGTGGCAGGCAGTTAAATGACCTCAACCAGTGGGATATTATTAGTAACCTAACGGGAGTTGTACTGAAACCTGTGCACGTAATGCGTATGACGCGACACCCCAACTCTAAGCATTTCGGAGTCAAGGCTTCTGCGTGTTGTACTGAACTCCATCACTGAAGTAGAATCAGTACTATTGTCGACAGGTAGTCTCAGAAATGAACACTGCTCCATCCGTATCTTTCCAGACATCCCATGGGGCGAGCGTTATCGAGTTAACCGTACCTTAGAGGAATACCGGAAGGAAACTTCAACCAGAACCATACTTCTTCACGGGGTTTCTGAAACTGAAGCATGTGATGAGCATGAAATAATAACCCATGATAAAGAACAGTGGTGTTATAATCGTGAAACACTACTTGGATGATGTGTTAACGAAATCCGTGTCACGACTGCGTACCTCACCGAACTACGAAGGAAGTGGCTCGAGCGTGTGGAAGGTGGTCCAACAGTCAAAACATATGCCAGCACGGCTGCTAAAAAGCTGGTACATATTTCGTTGCAGGCTACCATCTGAGATTCGGCAGAAGACAGTCAACGATATGCCCCTTAGAGTTGATATGTCACTCAACGGACCAAACGTGATGGGATCTGTAAAAGAACCATGCAACAGTAGTATGTCTAATGAGCCCATACAACCTGTTGAAGGTGATATTGATCAAACACATTACACTGTACGTAGAAGATTCGACACGGGACTAACTGCGCAGACGATGAATACGACGTTGAATCTTTCTCCAAGTACAAACCGAAAAAACGATTAGTTGCCGACCACTCACTGGTGGGGGAAATTTCACGTATGAATTGCACAACCTCCGAAACATTGCTTAAATCTGAGAAATTTTCACGTATGTACGCTAACGCCCAAGGGCTTCTCAGTAAACTTACCGAACTTCGGCTACGTCAGGTTGCGAATGCTTGGGACCTGATTATTATTACCGAAACTTAGTTACACCAAGAGGTGACTGATGCTGAGGTTGAGATAGCCGGAATGTCACTCATCCGGAATGACCGCCCCAGCAGAGGAGGTGGGGTCCTACTCTACTACCGCAGCGATCTGCAATGTGCAATAGTTGATGATCTGGAAACTCACATTATCGACTCACTCTGTTGCCGTCTCCGACTAAGACACAACGACGCATGTCTCGTAGCCGTCGTTAACCGCCCCCCCCAAACGTCCACGCCGGAAATGGATTCCCGCTTGATACGTGGCCTGAACAGAGTAACACGCACTAGGTACAGCCACATTCTCATTCCGGGGACTTCAATCTACACGATCTGGAGGTTTCGGCATCGCCTAGTAAGCCATTCAAAGCAGACTTGCATGAGCTGATCGCAAATATTCCCTTGTACAATAATGTCACCAAGTTCACTAGATTCAAGACATCAAACAAACCGTCCATATTGAACCTTGTGCTCACGAATAAAGAGCTCATGGCTGACAAGTTATTGATAGATAGTTCATTAGGTTTCAGTGACCATGTAGTAATAACGTTCAACTGTGTGTTATGCAGAGTATACACACTCGGAACTAACTCATACAATCACACGCTACCACGTCTTGAGAGAACTCGTCGACGCCACTGCTTGGGAACTCTCAAACAACAGTCCCCTTGACAAGGTTTGGACAGAGTTCGTTGATAGACCAGGTGACATCGTCAACAGAGCGTCAGAGGCCAAGCTCCTTGGTCCCGCAAAAATCCCTTCAATTCTAAGAAGCAGGACTCGAAATTGCCTGGCGATAAGGGATGCAGCATGGCGTGCGTACAAGATTAACCCCGACTCAGAGACTTGGGGCAATTTTCCGACCCATCGCAACCATTGCACTGCATTTGTACGTGAGGACAAAGTAACTTATCAACAGTGCCTAGCCAAAAAAAATTCCTGGCAAACAACAAATTGCTGTATAGGCATGTCAACAATCTTTGTAAAGTGAAGCATGGAATCCCTTCACTTTTCACGACAGGCAGTTGAGTACGAAGCGCCGAAGAAGCAGCTAACGCCCTGCGACTACAATAGGCCCCAATTTTCGAACTCACAGCCTCTACCTGTCTCATAATATCATGCACGTTACTGTTATAATCTTCTCACTAGACGCAACTCCAAAAATAACAATTCACTGCTCCACAAAACTTCTAGCCCAACCGAAGGAAAAAAACAAAACAACAATGACCTTGACAAAATAACGCATTAATCGCCGCCAACGAACACTGTACAACGACTGCGGACCTTGGCTGTATTTATAGATCTCTACTGACCTTCGACTTCTAGAATTGGAAGGTCAGCTGCCAAGGTTAGTGGTTCCCCATATCTTTTGCCGAGGTATCAGGTGGCTTTTAATAACGTGCAGAAGAAGAACATTCCGGAACGTTCGAAATCGATGCGATAATCGTTAATAACCGATTAATCGCTAAAATAGGGAATTTCCAAGGCAATTCTTACGTTCTCCCGGACAGTTACCGACTCCATTGTTTACACATGTAATTTTCAACCCATCAGTTATACTAAGGAAGTTATTCACTACGCGATCATAGCTTTCCGGGAGCAGACAACATCCGCCCGAAGGCATTGAAGGCTGCGGCCACCAAGCTAGCTGAACCACTGTTACAGTTCTTCCAAAGGTGTTTTGATGAACAACAAGCCCCCACTATGTGGAAGCGTGGCATTGTCACCCCAATTTTTAAAGGCGGTAGCAGTTCAGAGCCTGTAAACTATCACCCAGTGACTCTCCTCCCTGTGCTCGCGAGGGTGATGGAAGCTCTAATGGACTACTTGGAAAAATGCGACATACTGGCACCGGAGCAGCATGGATTCCCTCAACACCGGTCATGCACCACCAACCTACTGATTGCACGAGGTAGTTGGACGGAAGTGGCTGATGGTGGGGTCGGAGTTGACGTCATCTATCTGGATTTCACCAAGGCTTTCGACCATCTGGATCACCGCATCCTACTTCAACGGCTAAAGAGCTACGGAATCGGAGACCCTGTACTTGGTTGGATTGGCAACTTTCTTCACCAACGGAAGCTTCAAGTACGCGTTAGGGGATCATTCTCTAACCCGATTGAGGTAGAATGTGGTGTTCCACAAGGCTCAGTGCTGGGACCGCGCTTATTCCTGGTGTTTATCAACGACCTGGCATGAGTTATCTCCCCAAATTTCCTGCTTTTCGCCGGTGATGTCAAGATATGGCGGGTGATTAGGAATAATGGAAATCACCGTCTAATCCAACATTACCTAGATTGCATTTATGAATGGTCAAAGAGGAACCTGCTCCAGTTGAACACAGCTAAGTGTAAGGTGATCCATCCGCGTCACCAGCCGGTGAGCGCTTACAAGCTTGGAGACCACACCTTGGAGAAGGCCCCTCAGGAGCGTGACCTGGGCGGATTGGTACAGGAAGATCTCGGGTGTTCAAAGCAAGCAGAGAAGGTGACGAGAACCGGCAATTAACACTTCGGCGTGCTTCGAAGAGCCTTCAGCTGATTTGAACCCGCAGTCTTTCCCCAAATGCTTAACGCCTACGTGCGACCGCACGTGGAATATGCTAATCTGGCGTGGCAGCGGTGGCAGAAACAGGATCTCGTTGCTCTCGGTACTCCTAAAAGTAAGGCAACCAAGAACGTCAGGGGCCTCGTTCATCTGTCCTATCAGCTTAGACTGAAATCCCTAAGAATGCACAGCAGTCGATATCGGCTTTTGCGGGGGGATCTCATAATGGTTTACCAGACTCTGAAGAACCCAAACCACATTTGCCGACCGCTGCTGGTAATGAACCACAACACTCACGTGTCATCTTCTGAAACTGACAATTCAACATAGCCGGCTTGAATGCCGTAGAAATTTCTTTTCCCTCCGCGTGTGCCAGCCTTGAAACGCCCTTCCTCTACTCCCAATCTGGCGATATTTAGAAAAGGAGCTGACGATGCGCTGTCCGATTTGCATTTCATTTTATGAATTGTTAGCCAGGGGCTACCAAACGCAATCAAACGGTGTCTTACCAAACTCCCAACCAATGGATTTACACTTTTAATATGCGAACATCCCCGCTATTCTACATAAGTCTATGGTGAGTCCACCAAAACGCTTTTCACTTTATCATGCAATTTACTTTTCGCAATAATTTCCTGCCCACGGGACGCGTTAGGAATTGCTTTTTCGTACCCGTAATACACCATTGTTCCAATAATCCCAACAACGAAAGTAGAACAATAAGTTGGAATGATGCGTCTCCGCCGTACAACCAGAATGATCGAGGGCAAAAAATACGAAGATGGAAAACAGCGGGATCCAGTGTGAAAGTTGTATGTTTTGAGCAAACATTCAAGGTTAAGGCAACTACATCTTGTCAACGACATGCGGTCACAAACAGCGGTATATCGTACGGAGGAAAAGAAACATCAGCGACACAGACTTTTTGTGGTTTTTCTTTACTCGCGTTATGATCAGCCAGCAATGGCAAGGATAATTCAGAACTGAGCGCAACTTAGACAGGTAGCCCGACTAGTGTGACAGCTGTACGCCGTAACGGCGCTTCGCTGCCGCGGGACCACTACCAGTCGCGCGCGGGCTGAGTATACCGTGAGGACCACCACTCCCACGTGGATTAGAACCGGTGACCTTGTGATTGTAAGTCACGCGTGACGACCACTCGGTCACCGGTCGGCTAGACGACAAGAAAAGCGCCACTAGTGCTGGCTGCTGGCTACGAGCCATCAACCACAAAGTCAGGAACCAAGAACAAGGCGAGCAGCGTGGACTCTGCCTTGGAAGGAAAGACGGACCAACAATACTCGGTTCAGACGTTAGCTTCCGAGCATCTCGTGCCCTGCACCATTTGAAACCCGGTAAACAAAAGAAGACTTCTAGATAAACAGTGACCAGGCAGACGTGGCACGATCATGAATAGGCACTTATGTCCCACTGTATTTGCAGATGAATGGTTGGTGGAAAAGTTGCACAGGTCTATATGGTGGGTGGCGTAGCGTGCCTTGTGATCTGCTAAGGTAAGGTAAGTGAATCGATAGGCCGTACCCGAGTGGTCGCGGGAAACGGTGTCCTGCACGCAGTCATGCAGAAATACATCACACTGTAAATATAGAAAAGACGCAACTAAGTACGCAGAGCTGTCATTGATTATGCAGTAGCAATAGTACGTAGGCCGAGTACAACCCAAATGGAGATATGTCGTCCACATACTAAATGCTGTCAGTTAGTCAGATGGCAGAACTTTCATTCCTCCATTGAAGAGACAGATATTCTCGATCATTCACATCACAAGGCTGAGAAGGAAATGATGCATAGAGCAACCCTCCACGTGACGAGAGTGGACAGCCTATCCACAATTTGTCAAAACGTTTGGAGCAGTTTGAAAAGCAATTGTTCGATTATTCGCCGGCCACTGATCGCCCCGCTCCGCGGGCTGTCCCTCTGGATCCACCCCCTCGCTCACAAGTCGAACGTGAGATCGAACTGTTGAAGTTAAGTCGCGGGATCAGATGATCAACCTCCAGCCCTCTACAAATTCGGGGTCCTGCTCTTGTGGATGATTTACATAAATTACTAGTGAAACTGTGGAAGCAAGAAACTGTCCCAACCGACTGGAGCCGCTCCGTTATTGTTCCCATCTTCAAAGGAGGCTCGCGTTCGGAATGCGGCAACCATAGAGGAATCAGTCTGATCTCCATCGCCTCCAAATTGCTTGCCTCTGTCATCCTTCACAGACTGACTGGTGCTCGTGAAAGCCAGATTCGTGAAGAGCAAGTCGGGTTTCATCGGGGTCGTGGCTGCACCAACCACATTTTCACCTTGCGTCAGTTGTTGGAGCACCGACACACATACTGGCGGCCCACCCTAGTCGTGTTCCTCGACATAAAAGGTGTCTTCGATTCAGTTGATCGATGTGCCCTTTGGAATTGTCTACTCAGAAAAGGTGTGCCCGAGAAATATGTGAATATTATCCGAGCATTATACGCGCATAGCTCAGACAGAGTGAGGGCTTACGGCAAGCTGTCGCCACCCTTCAATATCTCCAGCGGTGTGAGACAAGGAGGCCCGTTGTCACCTTTCCTCTTCAATTTCGCTATTGACGAAGTCATGGAAATCACGTTTACAGGACATGACTTAGAAGGTGTAGAGCCACTCACAGGAGAACTTCTTGACATGGAGTATGCAGACGACATTGCCTTCATCTGTGACAGCTCCCAGACGTGCCAAGCCGCGCTGAACAGATTAGCACTGGCTGTCAGCCGCTTCGGGCTTTGCATCGCACCATCGAAGTGCAAAGCGTTCCTCCAAGATTGGCAGGGATCGCCCCCGGCGCTGACCCTTGGTGGGGATCTGCTAGAAGTCGTTCAGAAATTCAACTACCTGAGAAGTTGTATAAGCGCCCTTGGGATTGAAGATGAGATCACGAACCGTATAGCAAAAGCTCGGGGCGCTTTTGCTAACCTTCGTCACTTATGGCGCCGGCGCGACATCACTCTCGCCATGAAGGGTAGAGTGTACAATGCAGCGGTCGTTTGGCCCCACTGTACGATTGTGAAACCTGGCCCTATGATTAGCGGACATAAAGAGGCTAGTTACGTGCGACCACCGGTGCCTTCGTAGTTTAGCTCACATCTGGTGGGACCACCGCGTGAGTAACGAGCGTGTTCGACGCCTTGTTTACGGCACAGAAAAAGGAACGGAATTGCTCAGCACCGTCATTTCACGCACCAGGCCCCGATGGCTGGGCCACGTGTTGCGCATGCCAGTCCGCCGACTTCAGCGACGTGCGCTGTTTGCTCACCGGGGGTGTGGATGGAAGAAGAGGAGAGGTGGCCAAGCAATGACTTGGTCCAGAGGAACGAATACTCTCACTTCAGAGCTGGCCTCGGTTGGAGCATCACGGTTCCCTAGTTGGAGTCAAAAAGACGATGAACACGTTTGGCTAGATACACTTGCTGACATGACAAGGATCCAACCTCTGTGGCGTGCCCGCTGGAAGTTCCTATGTCCCTCCCCACTCCTTTTAGCCTCCCCCTCCAACCACGATCTCATTTCGTAGTGTAATATAATTTTACACAATAATTTTTCTTTCTGCCTAGTAGCCGGCTGATAGCTTACCAGAACGATGCCTATCCGTTGCTGGTAGCACAGCAGGCATGCAACTGCTGTATTTATTTTCCTTTTCCTTTATGTATTGCGGCACAGTAGCTGAGGTGTTTCCCACCTCTAGCTAACGTGTATAATGATGACGTTACACTCAGCTCTAGGCAGTACACGTGTCATGTGCACTTCACGCATATCACGCTGACGTACAATGACATAGTCGAACAGGTGAGAGTGACCACTCCATGGGTGCGTCCAAGTTGCTATATCACTCGCACTCAGTGCAAACCGAGTGTTCGTGATCGTCAGACCGTGAGTAGCACACAGTGAGAGCAGCCTGTCACCGTTCGCATTCGCTGAACCAATACCATGCGAACCGATAACATCTGTCCACACCGATGCATCAGGCCCAACGCGCGCGTTGAAATCACCCAGCAGAAATAGTCGGTCGCTCCTCGGCACAGACCGTATCACGGAGGATAGCTGAGTGCAGAATTGACCACGCGTGTCATCAGGATAACACATGGTCAGACCGTACGTGCTTATAAAGGTGGCAAACTTACCTCTCCCGAGTCGTAGGCGAACAGTCATCAGTCGCGCGCTGATGCCTGTTGGTTCACCCACCAGCTGGCCATGGAGGCGATCGGATATTGCAAATCTGACCCCATGATCACGTGATGCTGAGGCGGCGTTGCCCACCCAGTGGAACGTGTAGCCAGCACCTGCTTCATGCAACTTACCTTGCTCAACGAGCCGAGTTTCACTGAGCTCCGCCATATCGGTTATAACGCGCCAGCTCCATCGCGACCAGTGCAGTGCGTCGCTCAGGGCGTTCACTCGAGTTCCGGTCCAGTAGGGTGCGCACGTTCCAGCACCCGGTGCTGAGTGCTTTGCGCGCAGGCATACGATTGCATTGGTAAGCAATTGCACACGAGGTGGTCATTGTGCTTCGGAGGTTTGCTTGAGGGACTCCGCCTGCAGCTTTTGGCTCAATAGCCTGACCCACAAGGCAGTGAAGAGCAGATCCAGCTCGGGAATGTGATTGCAGAGACGGATTGGGATCTGCTTGACGGCCGTCACACGCAGCCTTTGTGGTACTGGAACGATTCATATATGTTTTGCGACCGTAGTAGGATCCGCACCTGCGACCACGGCCAGACGTAGGTGGGTTTTGGCGGGTTTGCACCAACTTGACTAGGGGTTGCCTGGCTTAAAGCGGGCAGTAGCAAACCATTGGACACCCAGAGGTGCCCTCCCATCATCAAAGAAAATGCGTGGCACTCGTGCTCTACGGCAATGGAACGGTGAGTTTATAACGCGTAGACCTGTTGTTTCCCATGACTAGGTTTCACGGGAAGAGGGCCATCGACCACTTCCTAACCCCCGAAGAGGATGGACTAGGATACTGGAAGGGCGCTCACACCTGACAAGAGAACGACTCGGGTCCTCAGCCAAAGCCTATGAATAAATGTACACCCGAAAGGCAGCGGGTCTAGCACATGGTCAGTTCACTGACTCATGCGGATCCCAGGTCTTAGCAGGGAGAAAAGGGTAACCCAGCTCCCATCCAGCGGTTGCCACGAGGAGGCGTCCAGAACATGAGCCAATGGCACAACAGTAGCAGCAGTGATTAGACCATCTGTCAGGATCTAGCCACCACCAGCCTCAGCGCACCATAGGCTCTCCTGCCTAGATTATACTACATATTTACATATATATATATATATATATATATATATATATACATGTGTAAATCAGGATTGCTACCTCAACGTGACTGTCCTGAGGTATTGCATCCTAGATATGTGGTATTAGAAGTGCCTTAACCAACTAAGGTCTCAGGTACAATTACGCCTAAACGCTACGCGAGTTGTATTGGTGCACTACCCGCGGGCAAAATCCAGCGATGAATGCAACCAAGTTTGGGAACGTGGACAAATGGCAAAACCCGATGCCAAATATTATTCGGTAGCCTGTAAGTGTAACGGAATTTCCAAATGATATACGATTTCCGTAATTATGCTAGCGAATTCTGGTGTACAAACATTTTTAGGTCCAAGTAATGTTGGTGCGGTATATGGGAGAAAGAGCTGGACAACTCTGGTCTTCGGAAAAGCAAGTATTCCCAGTTCATCAACAAAATTTAAGACCAGAAATGAGTGCTGGGCTAAAAATTGTTTCGCACTAACATTTGGGTCTAATGAGAGTTTACTCGAAAAGGATTCTCAACCCAGCTCTCGATTTTGATCCTGATTTTTGTAAAAGAACCGGCTGGCGCCAATAAGAGGGCTTAAAGAAGGGGAAGAGAGCATGAACCCATCCGAGTGGGCATCGATTTGACAGTCCGGTTCCCACCATAAAAGCATGTCTGGTCGCTTGTTGGACGAATATAGGTTGACAATCGGACACTTGAACTGACAGATTTGTATACTGATCCGCTTCCCGGCTAGTAACATTTGCTACCATCATCGCCGGTTACCGACTCTAAGCAGCTTATGCTGCCAGACAGCAGAATTGGTGGTTAAAAACCCCAAAGACATGACACTGCCTGCAATTAGTGGGACCAACATAATAAGCGAAGTAAACAGAATGGAGGGGAGATATGCAGTTGATGGTTAAAGTAAAATATGAGCGATCCAAACAAATTACCCAGGAGAATTCGGGTAAAACCGCGGAGGCAAATCCGAGTGTGATGTGGAGCCGGATGTCGGATGACAACCTGTGAATGGCTGAAGTGATTGGTCGAAGTTCTGCATCTGATCAGTGAGTAATCAGAAGAATAGTGGATTCCAGAGATTTGAGCTGTATAGTTCTCCCACACGAGACTGCGTCCAAGAGAGAAGTTTGTGTCGTGTTGATACCAGAAACCTAAAACGAAGTAAAAGCTTAGCATATAAAAGGCAAAACGGTGCGAAAAAAGAATTAATAACGGTATAAACGACTTTTCGCCAGTCTTAAAAGAACAATGTGCTATAAGAGAAGCGGCCTTGCTAAACGTTTTAGAATACAGTAAGCAGAACCCAAAGTAAGGTGCAGTGCTCCTAATAGGAGCAGGTGTGCAATGTGGGTAGGAACTAGTGGGTTAGGATTGCAGGTGCATGCTACACGTGTGCATCGGCTCAGAATTCAAGATTCCTCCGCATCACAAGTTTAAATTCAGATGAGAATGGAACGAGAGGAAAATTACGTGAGTGTTCCTTCCCGAGCGTATTGTTAGGCCAGGAGTAGATAAGGTGTTCTGAGTTTTTGGTGGAGACACCCGCACCAACCAACTACTGCCCACCTTTCCTGCGATAGCAGTCCCTGCTGTGGTCGTCAAGTGAAACAAGTAAAAGTGGAAAACAAAGAAAAAGGAAAGTCAGTTGAATGAAGGGTAATATCAACGCCTGGTCATCATATCACCATTGCATATCAGCTAAAGGTGAGAAACACCACAGCTGCAATGCATAAAGATGGAACAAAAAAGCCAAGGATTGACAAATCCCGTGATATGGTTTGTGGGAATAACGTTAATTCAAAAATTGCACAAAAGTGAGAAAAGTGCATCTGTGAACTCACCATGTTACCTACATCAACACAAAGGTATATCCGTCTACCCCGAGTTCGTGGGTTTAAGGAGCACAACGTTTGGCTGCGCCATATCCTCACTCAATGAATAGAAATCAGATCAAGTACTGTTGGTCGGCAGGTGTCCGAGTGGTCTGCACGTTTGCTTTGCAACCATAAGGTCACCGGTTCGAATCCGCGTAGGGGTGGGCGTCCTTGTGGTATACTCAGTCCGCGCGCGACTGGTGGTGGTCGCGCGGCAGCGAAGCGCAGTTACAGCGTACAGCTGACACATTATTATAATTATTTAAAGCATCGTCGGGTCGTTTCTTAAAAATGGGTAGCGTAGGCGCGAACACCAGAAAAGTCGAAAGTGTTCCACGGTTGACAAACTCGAAGGGGAAAATAATTCCGGTAGCATTCCAGCCGACTGTATTGGGTGGCAAGTTTCAGCTTAACCCCCTCAATTCCGTGCTGCGGCTAAGATTCAAGTGGCGGAAGGCGTGACCGGGGTGTTTCAAGATCTGGAACGTCAGGATGTCACCCCGTAGAAGGCGATATCTTTCAGCATACACTCCAATGGCTCTCAGTCGCCTATGGTATTGCAGTAGGGACAACCCCATTCACACTTTTCGTTGCCCTTCGCTACGCGGTCTCCAGCGCAGCCAGATCGTGTTTTAACCAGGGTTGCCAAGCTTGGGTCGCGTACTCTACATGGGGCCTTACATATGCATTGAGGAGTTGGGGAGAGATTGAGGGATCGAACCGCCCGAACGCTCTCCGTAACAGGCCAACATGTTGATTTGCGGTTTTGGACGCCTTCAAGGACTGCACCAAACAGCCGAGATCGCCTTGCATCACCATCCCCAGGGTCTTTCTCTTGTGAGAGGGTTCTCAGCATGTCATCTCCAAGCTTATATGCGTACGTGGGCTGGTGGCGGACATGCACGGTTTTGCATTTGTACGTGTTAAACGGAAGTAGAGTTGCCTTTGATTAGGTAGATGACATCAATGCCGGTCCCATTGTCGGCCATCTGCCAAAGGAAATAATTAGATTAGTAGTACATAACCGATGCTGACGGAATCCGTGTTGCTTCGATGCTATGATGTTAGACTTTTCAAAGTAGCCCATTAGAGCCTCAGCTATGATCGATGCCATCACCTTTGAGAGCACCGGAAGGAAAGACACTAGGCGATAGTTGGCGGGCCCCGAACGGCTACTACTCTTGAAAATCAGGGTAATGATACCTTGTTTCCACATGTTAGGGACCTGCTGTTCGTCCATGCATCCGGAAAAATCTCGTTCACGTTTCAGCTATCCTCGTAGCTGTCACCTGCAGTGCTTTCAGGAGAATACTGTCAACTCCGGGGGAACTGTGTGTGCGCAACTATTGTAGCTTCCTCAAAATGGTCGCCGAACTAATGGTGACGTGTGTAAATACAGGCGTCTGAGATTTCGGGATAGGTATGTTACACATGCTGGTGGCACGTCGGAAAATTAGAGCATATTGGAACCGTCTGGGAGTATTGGGCCTCTATTTGGCAGCCAGCCTAACGAAGGGCGCATGAAGAGAGCAATCGGACACCGGCTTTCAATGTGCGCGATTCCCCGGATTCTCCCCGCTGCCTTGCGGGTCAGGCCCCTATGACCGAAGGCTCCGGGTGGGGGTCTCGTAAATCAACCCTCTTCCTCGGTCTGGGCAATCGAGAAGCTGTATGCCCACACAACATATGAAATGAGGGATTTACGACTCTCTGCTCACGTTTCTCGTTCTCTGAACTCCCTCTGTTTAGCGGAGATGCTGGCGGCCAGGCTTGCTAAACCTCCCTCTACCGCACCGAAAACCACTTTCTTCGTTCCACGTTTATTCAACCCTCCTGTTCTTAGCAACCCCCCTTCCATTTCGAGTCTCCCAAACTACATTACAAAGAAAAGCGGTACATTTGGCCTCATCAATGAACCGCTCAAAACCGATCGCACACATTCAAATACCAGCAGCAAGGCTCTCGTTGCACCCCGCTCGCTCTTTGAGCTAGCTACATTCAATGTTCGAACGCTTATGCAGGTTGGTTCACAAGCTGCGTTTTCCCGCACCTTGAAAACCCTCTCAATCGACGCTTGTTGCCTAATCGAAAACCGTTGACAAGACTTCCCAACAAAGCTTCGATTGCCTTCACTATCCCAGTTGCAATTGTACATACACCTTACGCTTATCTGAGGATGCGACAGCGTTGCGCCCGTGTAGCAGTTGCGTTGGGCGCGCGTCCTGAGGCAGCACTCATTGACTGGTTCCCGGTGAACAGCCGTTTTTGTGCAGTCCGCTTGGAAAGGTCAGTGACATCTTCCAGCCACGCGACCAGTAGGCGTTGCTTATTCAGTGTGGCGGCGTACGCTCCTATGGACTGCAGCCCGAATGAAGGTAAAGACGAGTTCTACCGCCAACTCAAACTTCCTCCGAAAGAAAAGCCGCACGGACATCGTGGTACTCGCTGGAGACCAAAATGCGAAGGTCGGTAGTCATGAGCGTGAACTTAGGGGTTAACACACCCACGGTACTCGCAGGAAGGACAACGATTGTACGCCGACCACGTTTTGTTCTTTATGAACACGATTTTCCGGCGTTCCTGGCGGCCATGAACCACCTAGAGACCTCCGGCGTCTGGTCAAGAATGGACGCAGTCTGAAAGACTGCTAACTTAGGCTTTCATCAGCAACAATCACGATGTCGGTATTCTTCGGCATGCGAAGAAGAGATGAGAGATATAGATAGAAATAGTATTTGATACTCTCTGAGCTGCATTCAGTAGCGGCATAATCTGAGGCGATGGAAAAGCACCTTGGCTTCAGAAGTTGCCTATTACCTCCAATAGAGGTACGAAATTGAACCGTACATATGCGGCTGCTCACCAGTATCCAGCCGGGTAGACTGCCTTCAGCATGTTTTCTGAGGGCGATACCAACATCGTAAATACCTTGAGCAATTGACCCAGTATCGCCAGAGACGCGAAGAGTGTAGTCATCGTTGTCAGATTAAGAACCAGGGAATCCAAGACTCGTCACGACGCCGTTATCTTGTATGCGAGTTTCGGAGACCCAGCATACATCAATACCAAGTGAGTAACAGTGAGAGTCAGTGTTGCCTTCTGGCCGATCTGACCTGGAGTGCGGAGGTGAAAGAAACCAATGTAAAAATGAAATTCTAGATTTGATGAAAGGGCTACATGTATCGATGGCAGCAGTTGCGAGGTCAGCAGAAGTCCCTTGCTCAATAGACGAGGAAGAGGAGAGCGGACAGAAAAATAAGAAGAAGTAAGATTATCGTCGATATCGTCGAGGGGCTGGATGATATTCTCCGGCTGTACCTCAGTTACGGTGCCTCAAAGCAGCAGGTATCGATCGATGGGGTCTAGTATTCGGGCAAGTGCTGCCTGTTGACCAATCTGTAACAAAGTGCGCAGGCTGGGGCATGCCAGGCTTAGGGAGTAGCGAGGGCTTGAAATAGAAAGGGACGATCGCTGCACAGTCGCCATTTTGATGGTTCGAGGGATATCGCGACAAGTTGATACCAGACAACCAAGCAGGACTGAAATAGCCAAGGCAAATTACGGCCAAGCTTCCTAGTTAAAATACAAGAGGTGAGGAGCAGGTCTCATCGAAGTCCCTGGCAATGCGTTGAATGACCTTTTAAACTAAGTAAGCGCTCGGGGTAGGTCTGTCCTTTTAACTCGTCAAGCAACCTAGTACGCGCTCGTAAAACCCACTCCAGCTTCATTTTATCCCGGACGAGGCAAGACCAGCAAGTCTAGAAGCAATATTCCAGGTGGAGCCGAGCGAAAGCTGGGGCAGTTGCACAAATAGTTCGGTTGTCAAGACTTCGAAGGGAAGGCGGATTAACTATAGCATACGAAATACTCAACTTGCGATCTTTCAGTTGTCCCCCGAGTACAAAGTCGAGGAGTGGACGACGCTTAATTCTACCTAGTTAGAGACAAAGAGGTGTTTCGTGCTGCTGAGCATGTACATCGAAAGTGTCCGTGCTGTTCCAACACAAAGAACGGAACTCTGTCCGATGTAAGGGTGGTATTCACATAATAAGACAGTCCCAGAGCACATCTAAAACGTGCTGAATTGCTTCAGGACCCCTAGGAAAATCTACAATATTCCACAGCTTCAGGCTATCAGAAAGTAATAGAGATGATACCCCAAGCTCCATGCAATATTCGTCCGGTTCGGGATCACTTTTGTTGCCGACACGCAGAGTAAGTCGTAGTGGACCTGATGGCCTGCATTGGAAAACAGAGAGAACGTAAGTCCGGAAGTCA